AGATATATATATATATATATATATATATATATATATTTCAACATAGATAATGATATAGATATGTTAATATATAGATAAAAACTACTATTTTAATTTCAGTAAATCAACGGGTTTTTTAATTACATTATTGTTGAACTGTCTCTCAAATTCAGTATGCAACATCTAACAAACTTTGTTTCATATTTTGAGCAATTTACCTGACAGAAAACAAGAATAGAATTGATTTTAGTCAGCTCTCTTCTGAAAAAAAAAAAACAAATAAAATTAAAATGGCCAAGATTTGTTAACAGGTTCAAATAAAGGATTTGAGGCAAGGACATAAGATTATAAGAGATACTGTTTCATAACACATTGAGAACTGATAATTTGTTTCTTGCCAGCACATGAATAACAACATTCACTCATTTAAATTCAAGTTTAGAGCTGGAGCAGCTTAGCCAGATAAGAACATGAAATGATTAGCCAATGGTTAATCGCCAACATTTCATGTAGTATGATGTCATTACTACTATTTGCAGATAAAAGGCCTGGGAATTTGGGAGAGTGAAAGGCATATGATGAAATCCATTTAGATATATTCAAATGCATCCCATCCTTGAACACCTGAATAAAGCTGTAGAATAGATTAGCTAAAACATTATGGTAACAACAATATTAAGCACTCTACTCCCATGAATATAGCAAACTTTGAATAATATATAAAAAGTAAAATATTAAAATCTTGGAAATATTCTGCTAAAACTCATGTTTGAGCTGTGACTGTAGTAAATACAGAACCAGTGAATAAACTTATACCAAAGCTTTATTGCACTTTACTCTGACTACTTGTCTACTGATGGATATTACTATTAATATTATTATTATACCTCTTAGATCTTAAGGGGAGGTAACTGATGATTTACCAGTACACTGACTATGATAGATACATAATTATGATTAAAAAAGATGTATCGACTGAGAAAGATATGAACTGACTTAGACAGATACAAGGAATGTTGGAAGTTTTTCAGTTAAGATGAACAGTTTTTAAAAAATCCTGATGTTTTGTCAGTTGTTTAACTTTTGGGAAATTGGTTAGGCCAAAAACTTTTCAGCATCCTATCAAATGTAAGGAAGATTATGGATGGATGATGGTTGTGAATGTATATATATATTCAACTTTAAAAATATTTTCAGTTTGACTGCTTTGCAAATACATTTGGATTTATATATATATATATATATATATATGTATGTATAGTTATGTGTTTCTAAAGAATGCAGGTTCAAATCACTCCTATTCTTGCTTTCTGTCAGGTAAATTGCTCAAAATAAGAAACAAAGCTTGTTAGAAGATGTCACATTTAGAATTTGAGAGACATATTTTTCTTTAATAATATTTCTCAAATATTCAGGCTAGTAGACAAAAATAAATATGTAGGCTATTTAATAAATAAACAGAGTATCTACTCAAATATGGCTATCCACTACAAATAATGTTTAAAGTGATAAAAATAGTTATATGTACACATTTTACTTATAAATATATATACATCATACATATTTTTATACATATAGATATCAAGTGTTTGAATAGTTATATGATAGTAAAACATATTTCAAGTAAGATTGTGATAGCAAACAGAGAGCAAGTTTTCAGTTTTTCTCTTTTCTACTGACCTATTCTCTGGAATATACGGAGTTTCCTTTCACTATGAAAAGCCTCCACTCCACCCACAGTCTAACCAGAGCATCCCTCAGACCTTTTCCAAATCCACCTTCACCAACAGTGTCCATGATTGGTTAAGTGAATATAGTCTCTGTTGAAGGAAGTGAATTGAAAGGCTATACAGTGAAAAAAAAAATGAGGAGGGAGAGAGAACCAGGGGAGGTAAAAGTCTTCAAATCATCTCAAGTAGAAAATGTCAGAGGTTTTTAAGACAGGCAGCTAAACAAATAGAAGGTGAGAGCATGTCAAATACTAGCCAACTAACTAGCTAACTAACAGACCAACCAGTAAATAACTAACCGGTTGATTTAACCCCATCCACAAACTCAGTCTTGGTGGTATCAGCAAACTCATGAAATTCAATTCCTTGTTACTCAAAGATGCATGAGCTTTCTTCAAAAAGATGATACATGAATATTTCTTCACTTCTTTTTGACCTCACCTTCTAAATTGGACAAGCAAGCCAATAAAGCCACTAAGGTGCAATGAGTTAATAAGAGAATATGATAGAATTATGCTATTAAGGAGAGAAGACAATAAAAGAACAAGAATGAAGAAGACAGAAGATAATGATTGACATTGCACTTAAATTTCTGAAAATTAAATTTGGCAGGGAAGTAAGAAGCCAGAAGAGAGTTCCACAAGTGAGAAGTGCAAGAAAAGAAACTGTTAGTATAGAACTTATGGTTACACCTAGCCAGTTCAACTGTAAAATGATGAGACCTTGCCGCCAAACTGATACTTCACATAAATTCATGAACTCTACGTACCATAGAGGAAAGTTGATCTGAACAGTTATCATGAAAGTATTTATGGAAAAGTTACAAAGAAGTTACATTACATCCGTGAGAAAGAGACTGAAACTGAGATGCAAAGTTAGGACCAATAACATTGCAGATTCTTCTTTGGATTTTATCAAGAATCACTAAATATATAGCAGGAGCACTAGACAAGATGTGACAGCAATATTCAAAGCAAGGATTAATGGTAGACTTATAGATAGATTCTGGCAAGAAAAATTGTCTAGCATGACACAGTGAACCAAATTCCTTACCTACAGACTTAATAATTGATTCAATATAATCTTTCCACAGAAAATGTTAGTCCAAGAAGGTGCAATAAATCACTCTCCTGGAGGTTAGCATCAACATTTGATTTTATACACATTTGATTATAACAATATGAAAGTATGATTTGAATAATATGTGAATAATAACCATTAAAATGGTAATGACTCTCTCTCATAATTATAGACAGTAACTTAAATACTTGAATGCAAATATTGTTATTTTCAATGCATGAACCACAATCTTTTTTTTAATTATCCCCCCCCCACGCAAGGTAATAAAGTCATTAAGATTACAGAGCATAATGCATTATTAAGGAGAGAGGACAATTAATGAAAAATAATTAAGAAGATAACAATTCACTGCATTTCACCTTTTGAAGGTTAACGTTAACTGGGGAAGCCTGAAGATGGAAGAGAGTTCTACAAGAAAGAAATGTGAGAGAAGAAACTGTTAGTATAGAATTTATGGTTACATCTAGCTATTTCAACTGTAAAATGATGAGACCTTGCCATCAATCTAGTTGTACACTGAAATGCATAAAGTCTAAGTGGAAAGTTCATCAGAACAATAAACATGAAAATATTTTTAGAAAAAGCACAGGGAAGCTATGCTATGGCAGTGAGAAAGTGACTGAAGCTGAAATTCTTGGTCAGGACCAAGAAAATTGCAAATTCTTCTTAATATTTTATCAATAAGCTCTAAACACATGGCAGAAGCACCAGGCCAGATGTGGCAGCAATATTCAGTACATGGACAAATGGATAAGATAGATTCTAGAAAAATTGTCTATCACAATACAGTGAAACATCTTCTTCAATAAAAGACAACAGTGAATGTTTCTTTTATAGCTGGTTTTGAAGTTAATAGTGTAAAATTTATGACTGCCACTGAAGATTATTTTAAAGTTTGAACATATTGGTAAGGTCTTTTTACAAATTATTAATGGAACTAGTTTCTGAATCTTGGACCAATGAAAGTTTCATTCCTAAGGGCATCTGGGTTAGATTATTATAGTTAATTGATAAGATGTTTGTTTTCTTCGAAGAAAAAATTGAGCACGATTTTCATGTTAAGGTGAAGCACTTACTTTCTTTTATTCTTCAGAACATGGGCAGTCATGGTTCTCCACAACTTCCTATTCTTTGTAGCTCTAAGCAATAATTATCTCTTTACTATATCTACCAGTACCTGTCTGCCATCCAGTTACATGTGGTTGTTAAGTAGGTTCCCTCTGACCTTCTGTCTTGTGGGTGTCAAATTCTCCAATCCCTCTTTTCTCATTGTGTTTTCTATGACTTTCAGCCTTTTCTTTCTGGTTCTAAGTATAAGTGTTCTTGTTTCTATTTTCTTTAAAACTTCTTTCTTGTTCACATGCTCCATCCACATTATTCTCAGCATCCTTCTGTAGAACAACATCACTGTCTCCTCTTCATCTGTGAGGAAATTGTCTAACATACACTGCCATATAGAAGGATTGGTATTACATGGCTGTTCAATGATCATGTCTAGGTTTTTAATAAATCACCTTGACAATCACTACACCACACTAATAATTTAAGTGATAAAAGCCAGAAAGAAAAAAAAACTGTGAAAAAAAGAAAAGAAAGAATAGTGACTAAGAAAATAGTAAAATGAAGAAAGAAAGAAAGAAAGATTAGTGAGTAAGAAAAAAGAAGATAAAAAGGAAGAAAGAAAGCAAGAGTAGTAACTAAGAAAAAAGCAGATGAAGAAAAAAGAAAGAGTAATGACAAAGAAAATAGGATGAAGAAAGAAAGTGACTATGAAAAAGGGAGATGAAGAAAGAAAGAGTAATAAGAAAAAGAAAGAAAGAAAGAAAGGGAGACTATTACAGAAAGAAAGAAAGAAAGAAAGAAAGAGACTAAGGAAGAGATTAAGAAAGAAAGAACAGAAGAAAGGGTAAAAACTAAAAAAGAAAGCATGAAAGTTATTAAGATATAAGATTGCTGCAACACTCTGATGACAGACACTTTCATTTTCAAATCTTTTATTAAACTAAAATGACTTTACAACATATATTTGAAAAAAATTAAAATATAAAGCCAAGAAATCACATATAGTATGAATAATAACAACAATTGTTGTATTTTAAAAATATATAGAATTAATCAATTTAAATATCCTCAAAGCTATATTGACAGAATCATCAGACCCTAGAGGAAAAGCTTAAATTAATAAAAGTTTTTTTCCATTGATTACTAAAAATGTTTTCATCTCATTCATTTCATTTTTATTGTTGGTTTTCTGAGAGGGGGAGAGTTACATACCCTCTGTCATCAAATGGCCTTATGCTGTATAATAAAATATTGTTGATTAAATTAAACATTGATTTTATAACAGTTTAGTTCTATCTTATAGTCCAATGGTTGTGCTTGCAGAAAGTCACAAGTCATTGTGACTGAGGGTTTGAGCGTGCTGGCCTTGTTAAGACTGTTGATCACATTAGATAACGTGCACTCTCCAAGAAACTGTAACTCAGCATAGTTGCAGTATTAACTACAAGTGGGATCTGTGGATGTTTAACAAACACAAATTTGCCTGAGCAGACGTCTGCAATGGGGATTAGCTAGCCACCCTAGTAAACTGACATCCTCGGATACAAGTGGCTGTGCCATTTTTTTGTTTTTTATAATTCATGAAAATTTCTTTCTTTTATTTCTTTCATGCAAAAAAAAGAAAAAAAACAGAAAAATATTTTTCAAATTTTATTTTGGTTTTTGAAATAAGTGTCTACTATAGAGTTAAAAGTAAATATAATGAACTTAACCGAAATTTGAACTTGGCTCTCAGATTTCACATTCCAAGCCACTATCCATTACGCCATCTGCACATCACTAGTAAGTAGAAATGCTTTGTCTTTTTACAATTTATTATACGCATACATATATGTGTGTGTGTTTGCATGTGTGTGTATGCGTGTTTGTTTTGTCTTAATTTCCTCATTGCAACTGTCAAAAAATGTTTCCATTCCTTGGTTGACATTTTAAAAAATCCAAAACTTCAAATCAAGACTAGAAGCCAGAAATAGCTTCACTTTAAAAAAAATAAAGTCTTTTCCAAGGTCAAGAAGCAATATATATATATATATATATATATATATATATATATATATATATATATATATATATATATATATATATATATATATATATATTCCTGCATTTCTACTACAGTTCATTCTCTCTCACTCTAGTCTCTTCTATCTAATCTATCTTTCTCCTTTTCTTTTCCCTTCAAACAAATTGATTCTTTCTTGCTTTTCTTCTTTCTTTTTCACTCTTTTTTTTCCCATTTTATTATATCCTTTTGAACTCTTTCTGAGGTGCATTTCTTTTCCTTTTTTCTTTTACTTCCATTCTATACTGATCTTCATTTCTTTCTTTTTTCTTCTTTCTCTCAAGTTCATAATTTCTCTTCTACTCATGCTTCCTTTTTATCTCTCCTTTTTCTTGTTCTTTTTACTGTTTGCTTGTTTTGTCTCTTTTTTTTTTTACTTTCTTTTTTTCTTCCTCTTGCACTTTATTTTTCATTATCTTTCTTTCTTTCACTTAAAATTTCCTTTTTGTTTCCCATTTTCCTTTCTTTTATTTCTCATTTTATTATCTTCTTACCTTCTCTTAATCTTTTCTCCTTCTCTTTCTTTCTTTTCTGTTAAAATAGAATTCATAACTTCTTTTTTGTTATTCATCTCTCCCCTCTTTTTTCTTTTCTATTCAAGCCTTTCTCTGACTTTATTCTTTGAAATAAAAAAGAAAATTTTATTGTATATTAAAAATAACTCCTGCAGTAAATTTACCAATGCATAACATTAGACATTTTTTCTACTTGCAAAGCCCATTGTATTGTCAGCCAAGATGTCATGTCACAACTAATGAAACACATACTCCATCTTTCAAGCACCCCCCAAAAAAATACACAAACATACAAAAAAAAAATATGAAAAGACATCATCAATAATTTATTGTCATTTTTCATATATCACATTTTATTTGTTTGCATGCTTCTGTTTGATTTTTACTTTTATTGCATTTTCCATATTTTTTCTGTGTTTTCAACTACTGTATATACTCACAAATCATGTGACACTTGAAGACCTAATTTTGAAGCTAATTTCACCACTGTAAATTTATACAGAGTTTGGTCAACAGCATAGCCAGGACCAGAAGTACATACACTAATTTTATATCTCATGTATGATGTGACCCCCTTAAAATTAACTTCAAAATTAGGTCTTCAAAAGTCGTATGATACATGAATATCTATCTATCTATCTATCTATCTATCTATCTATCTATCTATCTCAATCTGTTCATATCTCAGTCTGTTCATATCTATCAATCTATATATCCCAATATGTTGATTATCTAACTATCTATCACTATTGGTTTAGTATCTATCAACTGTAATCTTTTCATATCTATTTGTCTATTTCAATCTGTTCATATCTATCTATCTATCTATCTATCTATCTATCTATCTATCTATCTATTTATCTCAATCTGTTCATATCTAAGTCTGATCATATCTATCAATTATAATCCCAATATGTTATTATCTAACTATCTAGCAAATCTTAGTAATCTTTTTCATATCTATTTGTCTATTTTCTGGACATCTAAGTCTGATCATATCTATCATTATAATGCTATGATGAGCAAAGTAGTTATAGTTTTTGGGAAATAAGTCATTATTAGTTTTAAAAATATTTTTAAAATTTTTTTATTTTCAAAAATACCTTACCTCATCAGGATTTAACAAGCGCAGCTCTCCACAGATTTCTTTCTTTTATTATCCATGAATTGCTATGCTTTCTTGGAAAAAGATAGAATGGTTTCCATTTATCTTCACTTAGTCTTTCTTAGATTAGATTAGTTACCACCCAAGGTTAGAGAACCAAGTCTACTCTGCTATTTAAACTATAGTTCTAGGAAAAACTCGCAGTAACCCCTTTGTATCTTAGTGGCTTTCTTGGGGGGGGGGAAACAGACAATGTAGCTCACAAAAGAATTAGAAAATTAAAAAAATTAAACAAAAAAAGGAAAGAAATTATTTATGGTATTAATGCTAGGGTGTTTGAGTGCATCATGTTGGTTGATGAAATTAAGTAACTCGTCTGCCAACTGCTGTCTCCTCTGACAGGGAGACTGTGCAACATCTTGTATCTACTGCATCCTGTGTGTGATAAAGCCAAAAAGAGAAAGTGAGTCGTTAACATTTATACTGCTGATTGCCATGCCATCTAGTGGGCATTGAGTAAAGTTCATTGGCTGACAAGATGGGGTAATCCCACATCAATACTAAGAAAGTTATTAAATATAACAATTCATGAATGAAAATTATTATGTTTCTGACTCAGATGACAACAACTAAATGATTAAATATTAAGGATAATAGAAAAATTTTAATTTGATGATAACACTAAAATTAATGGATGTAGTATTTTATAAACAATGTCTTAAGTAAGATGCAAGAGAATAAAATAGCAAACATATTTATGTATAATTATTTTTCCTGTAATGCAGATTTTTTAAAAATATTTGAATATGGAATATATTTAAATCAGTTTTCTTAACAGAAAGAGAGGAAGTTTTTTTTTTCCTCAAAGCACACTAAAAATACAAATGACTAATTTTTGTGTTCTTTGTTGGATAACATTTTTACAAACTTGTATATATACAATTTTATGGGAGAATAATTACAAAGAATTAGAAAGGATTGACATCTGATGGAGATTGATAAGCAGACCTCGCAGTCTAGTTTAATGATGATTAAGAAAGAAAGCATAACAAGGTGTGATGGCAGTATGACTGTAAACATGTGGCTTTGTATATAAGGAATATATAGCAATCATCATGCTACCATTATTAGAAGAGAGTTACCAGAACACACTGAATAGAATTTGGCATAAAAGAAACTACTAGAAAAAGTCCTATTTCCATTCAACATCAAGCAAAAGAAAATGCAGAGCAATTGAACTAAGATAATTGAGCAATTGCACTAAAGCAATAAGATAATTGAGCGATTGAACTAAAGATAATTGAGCAATTGGACTAAAGATAAGACATATCATTGTGAAATAAACATCAAACTAATTTATTTGCATTTTTACAAATCAGGTTTTGATGATTGCTGAGTGCCTGTTGAATACGGGATGAGAAAGGGTCATTCATAATATGTGTGTCAGTAAAATAAATATAAATTTCAATAAATTTGGAGATAAAGCTGTAAAAATTCTGGTGGCAACGTTTTTGGTTACATACAGCACAGTCTGTAGCAAGTTGAATGTGTGACCCCAGTGAGTAAAAATCAAGTTTTTCTTTGTTTTTATATATATATATATATATATATATCAGGTGTAATATTGGAGGAATCAAGACTTTTATCGTACAGTCTCAGTTATGGTGGACTGGTCATGTCTTGAGAATATCTGATGACAGGATACCCAAGATTCTAACCTACAGTCAGTTAGATCAGGGCTACAGGAATGTAGGACGCCCATGGTTAAGATACAGAGACAAGCTGAAAAGCAACTTGTCAGCTGTCAATATACCACATAACACCCTTGAGCGCTTAGCCTTGGAGTGGGTAGAATGGAGATCAACGTGTTTTAGTGGACTCAGTAGTTTTCAGTCTGCTTGTTTGAATCATCTTCAAGAAGTGAGAGCAAGATCTAAAAGGTCAGCCAATCTAATAGTGATCTCCATTATTATTATTATTATTATTATATATATATATATATATATATATATATATATTAATTCAATTTAAATACAAAACAGACAACCTTAACAGACAACATTAACGTTGTCTGTTTTCCATTTAAATTGAATTAATAATTTGCTCTGATTTGACCATGAGCTCTCTGGATTACATCCTCCTTGGGATTATCTATACGGATTACCAAACTTTCCATTACTGATATATATATATATATATATATATATATATATATATATATATATATATATATATATATATATATCCTTTTGGAAGTCCCAAAATGCTTGATGAAAATATTTTCTATCTAGCTAAGCATTTTTTTTTATTTATTTTAACCACATGATGTGTTCTCTACTATGCCCGCATCTAAAAATACATGACTGGTAATTTGTATGACCTTGAACTGAGGTTTACCTTCTACATATTTTTGGTGCCTTTGCCAGGATCCTCTTTTTGCCTCCCAATTTTTTTTAACCTACACTAAGCCTATTCTTAACTTAATTTTTTTTTACAGTAAGGTTTATTCTGTACAAGGCATGTGGTAGAGGGTTACGTTAGGAGGCAGTTTGTACAGATAGGAGGGGAAGGTAATGGTTAACCCTAGACCTGATCAGTTTAAGATTGTTTTGATTGGGTAAGCATACTATTGGGAGTCTGTTCCACAGACCAGTGGTTCACAGGAAAAAGCTGTTCAAGTGTAACTTACATCTAATGGAATATGGAGAAAATGTGGGTGGTTTGAGACTATTTAATTGGCATGGTGGGTCCTAGCTGAGAAGGCCTGATCTGATGGAAGCAGAAGATGTTTTCCAAGCAATTTCCATGAAGGTACATTTAGAATTTGCTAAAATGTTTTACATCAGATGAATTTTGGTAAGATGAAGCAATAATTTAACATTTTAAGCATAACCAATATCATTACATTATCAGTAAAAAAAAAAAGAGCATTTATATGAAAGACTATGAGAGACCTACACATTTGAGAAGAGATCTTTGTTAGTTTGATACAATTGTTAGATATGCCTCTGTGAAATCAAGTATGCTTAGGGCATTTAGATTTTGTGTACATTCTGTGTTGCGATATTGGATTTGCTGGTGAGCAAAAGTCCCTTTTTGAGGGGAGGTCAGATACATCTATTGTTAAGGATTCCTGTGGCTAAAGAGAGAGAGAGAGAGAGAGAGACTTTGTACACTTTTCTTATACATTATGAAAAGTCCCTTTCTGAGGGGAAATGAGATGCAGCTATTGTTAAAGATTCTTGTGGCTAAAGAGAGAGAGAGAGAGAGAGAGAGAGAGAGAGAGAGTGTGTGTGTGTGCGTGTGTGTGTGTGTGTGTGTGTGTGAGAGAGAGAGAGAATGAGAGATTTTGAACTCTTTTATATATTTCAAAAGTCCCCTTCTGAGGGGAAATCTATTGTTAAGGATTCCTGTGGTTAAAGAGTAAGAGAGAGAGAGAGAGAGAGAGAGTGATAGGAAGAGCGAGAAAGAGTTTGTGTGTTTGTGCACGTCTATGAGAGAGAGAAAGAGAGAGACTGTACTCTTTTCTTATATATTGCCTTTTCTCAACGCCATCCAGAGGCCATTAGCAAAAGTTCCTGGGAAAACAAGTGGAGTAATCCCAGACAACAATTTGACGCATACTTCTAAAACCACTCCAAAAAGTCACTAGTGGCTACAAGCACTGCATACCTTTTCATTTCTTATGTCAGTTTTGGAAATGCCACTTTAATGGTCTAGATAATGCTACCTATCATTACGTTAGGTTGTCTTCCATTTATGTTCTGTGATTATGTGAATGGGTTTCCAAATTCTTGGTGAACCCATAGCGAAAAATAACATCTGTTCAATTCCTTTCTCTGTGGGTGACATAAGCGGAAGCCATGATAGAAGATCTACAAAAAATGAGGAATTTGATATGTGCTGTAGATTTCAGTTAATGTACTACGTTTTTCCTTAAATTGATGCTTGTTTTATGCAAATTGCAAATGATTAGATGAATTTGCAATGATTTTGTGCACTGAAACTCTTTTTAAGCAAAAGAAAATCTATTGAAATTCAGTTATATTTTACAGGCTAAAATGGAGTAAGCTTGTTTAAAAACTATGTTTGTATTGTCAAATTCTAAATAACTTGAATCTCTAAGGGTTTTTTCCTTTTTTTAAAATCAGTATCCCCCATGCAAGGCAGTAAAGCCAGTAAAACACAAGGGGCTACAGAGTGTGGAAGAATTAGGAACAAAATTATTAATAAACGAAAGAGTAATCAGGAGGACAATAGTTAGCAGTTGACATTGCATTTAAATTTTCGCAGATTAAATTTGGCTGGAAAGTATAGAACAGTAAGGGAGTTCCACAAGTTTGAAGTGCGAGAAAAGAAACTGTTTACAATTACATCTAGCTAGCTCAGTTGTAAATTGTTGGGATCTCGACACCAGTCTATTACTGCACTTAAATTCAAAAAGTCTGGGTACCATAGTGAAGAACCCATTCAAACAATTACCATGAAAGTATTTTATAGAATAGGCACAGAGAGACAACTTTCCGGCAGTGGGAAAGTGACTGAAGCTGAGCCACAAGATCAAGACCAATAATATTGCTGATGCTTGTCTAGTTTTTATCAAGGAGCCCAAGGTAAACAGCAAGGGCATCGAAACATATGTGGCAGCAATGGTCTGGTGCACCTGCTATTTACCTATTTGTGCTGAAAAGAGCTCAGATGAAAATGATAGCAATGTAAAGTAATTAATGCATTTATTTATGCAAGTTGAAGCTTCCTCCCTTGCACGCATGCATT